AGTAATGTTATCAAATAATCCTAGTATGACGTGCATTAAGAGCGTTTACGCCGTTTGGCGCAAAAACAGTACTTTTTCAACTCGTTACAATCATTAACAAGTTACAAATATGTTATAGGCATAAATAGTTAGGCAATTTCGTCGTCTAAATAGTTAATTGAGAAAATATTGCGATTAGTTTAGATTTAAGAATTCTATCAAGATAAGTCCACACAGGTTTTGTAAATTTCCACTTTAGCGTCAGTTTACAAGCTGAAATTTTTATAAAAATACTGTGAAAACGATTTAACAAACATTTAAATCCTATAGCATAGATCCTTGGGCAAATAGTTATCTTAGAAAATTTTTAGATTTAAGCATTTTACAATAAGAAATCACAAATTAAAAGAACGTGAAATACCCAAAAATCAAAGTGATTTTTTCACCAATATTCTTCCTTTATTCAACATAAAAATAGCTTAATATAATAAAACAACATCTTCTTTAAAATATTTACTTTGAAACGATATTTAATTCATTGTTATTGTTTTGCTATAAACATTTTACAAATATGTTATAGGCATAAATAGTTAGGCAATTTCGTCGTCTAAATAGTTAATTGAGAAAATATTGCGATTAGTTTAGATTTAAGAATTCTATCAAGATAAGTCCACACAGGTTTTGTAAATTTCCACTTTAGCGTCAGTTTACAAGCTGAAATTTTTATAAAAATACTGTGAAAACGATTTAACAAACATTTAAATCCTATAGCATAGATCCTTGGGCAAATAGTTATCTTAGAAAATTTTTAGATTTAAGCATTTTACAATAAGAAATCACAAATTAAAAGAACGTGAAATACCCAAAAATCAAAGTGATTTTTTCACCAATATTCTTCCTTTATTCAACATAAAAATAGCTTAATATAATAAAACAACATCTTCTTTAAAATATTTACTTTGAAACGATATTTAATTCATTGTTATTGTTTTGCTATAAACATTTGAAAACTATTAAAAAAGGCCGCGCGCGAATCATTTCCAATGATGCCCCTTGAAACGCCGCGCTTCGCGTAAACGCTCTTAATGCAAATAAAAAATTTTCAAAGCTCCACATTTATTCTTTTTATGGCAAAAAAGATTTATGGCAAAAAAACCCATGTGCCTTTAGCATGAATGTAAAAAATGACACCACCAAGTCTGAGTTGGTCGGTTTTCGCGCTACTCCTCGGAGTGACGGTATCTTTCCGAGAATAACTCTCTATTCGCTATTTCTCAGATATCTGCGCCCGCGTTGAAATTATTGTTCTAGGTACTGAAAATAATTGTTACTTATTAACGCGTGTACTTCGAAAATTATTAAATATGACTGACAGCTACGATGCATTGTAAAATGTGCTTTTTTAACGGTACAGTCGAATTTACAACTTTGATTTTTTAAACACTAAATGAAATTAATACAAAAGTAGCTAGTGGCTGTATCAAGTAAGAAAACAATGGTAAACATCATTTAAATTTCAAAATGTTAGCTTTAAAATTTCCTGATAACTACTCGTACCTACTTACTTATGTAAAAACGACAGAATAAGTCAAGGCAATTTGACTTCGTCGAACTGAGGTTCTGAGGTCAAAAAGAGTCATCCGCTTTGATAAAGAAAGGAGGTAGCTAGGGTATTGTAATTTTAGCAGGTAATTATGTACGTATAGGTACGTAAGTGGTTATTATGTACCTACTGTTTCCTGCAATTTGTAGATATGCAAATGCATTGTAATGTCACTTTCGATAACATTTTTACGGATACTATCTAAGTACGACTTAGATAAAGTAGCAAGCTAGACACGACTGATAAATACCTAATATAAAATTAAACTTTAACTGTACCTACTTAAGACTTGCCTATTTTTCAGTTTCAATGTAAATTCGTTAAGTTCTAATTCTCACATATCAACGCGTCACACTATCGGTGATTGCGATTTCTGTGAAGCGCCATTCGCGATAATTCATTTATCGACGACTCACGCGCCGACGCGAGCCACTGGGGCAGTGACACATCGTAATTAGAAATTATTTTGCAACACAGTTTGTAATTAGCACTTAAGTCCATTTTAGAGCTTAAAGTCTACAAACCAACGATACCCAATAACGTTGCTACACTCTGACTTGGCTTAAAGTATTTTTTTAGTTACAGATAAAACAACAATATAAAGTAACTTATTTTAATTCGAGGGTTTTGAATCCATAATAGAAAAGTGTACAACTAATATTATTGTAACCTAATTTAAAATACAATTATAACAGTAGGTATCTAAATTGTTTGCAGCTACTTTACTTTAACAATTTGCGGCCAACAACAGCTGTTAAAACAGACGCCATTGTTAAAAAAACATTTTGTATAAAGCATCAAGATTATTTAGTCAAATTCCGTTTAAACTCGCTGTTGTTTTGTTTCTCAGAATTTTATTTTGAGTTACAATATTATTTAGTAGCCTACCTACTCGCTAGCAGAGCATCTAAAAGTTTCGGAAATATTTTTAACTATCACATGTTTTTCTAAAAAGTTGAGTAATACCTGCTGCTAAATGCAAAATGGACTGATCTTGAATCACCCTTTAAAAAATTATCCTTCAAAAATTTAATGAAGTAGTAATACTTATTGGTGGTTTCAATATGTGTACTTATCAAACTTCTCACTTACGAAACCTGCTCTAGTATACCTCCTAATTATACCTACTCGTATCTAAGCGTAAAAAAGCAACAATATTATGTTCTTATTTAGTGTTAAAATTAGCAAACACATAGGTAGGTACTTGGGTACAGTACACTTTGAAATTGAACTACCAGCAACCCACTCGGTCGAATTTGGTTATTTAGTTTCGTAAACCACTCCCAATTCTTAGTATCACTTAGCCCTCATTGGAAATGCTTTCTACATTAGTGTTTGCTCGCGCTCATTTCGGAAGTAGTACCGAGAATAAACGGTATGCATTGTAGAATTGAAACTGGTTTCGTTTCGTTGGTTTACCGCGAATCGGTGGGATTGCGAGTTGCGACCTTTCTAAAACATCGATTTCACTACGGCGAACAAGCTTTGTTAAACCAAGTTAAACCACAGACTTAATATTAATACCGAATAGGCTTAGATTAATAAAGCCGAATAGGTATTAAAATTTCTAAAACGATATTATTTGTGAAAATTAAACTTGTTTATAGTTTTTAATTGTTTTCACCTTATCGGATTTCCGGTTAGGTAATAACGAAAATATCAAAAGATATAATTATATTAGGTATAGTAAAATTATATTGTCAATAGTAATTAATATTTTTACCTAAAATCTCAAATTGAAAATTTAGAGATGTTAATATCACGGTAATAATATCATACAGTATTATAATATCAAAATTTTAAGTTCCATAAAGATGATTAATTGACTTTTTCACAAGACGTCATTTTGTGACAGTTTAGGGAGGGGGCACGTCTTTCACTTGCCTAAAGAACTGTGACAAGTATTTATTCATTGCTGATTTTTTGACATATTTTATATTTGGGTTATCAATGATAAATTAATCTAGTTGTTAGTTATAGTGACTCCGACTACCAACTAGATTAATTTCTTAAATAAGTCACATTTTAATTATTTTGATTTTGACAATGTGATCATACCTAAATCATGTCATAACATTTCGTTGGGGAGCTATTCACACAAACCGCGCACGCAGCTGCGTACCAGGAGTGTGCGCCAATGACAGCCGGCAGATGGTTGTGAAAGCTGCGCGGACGCAGGTATGGGATTCCAAGAACGCCGAATATAATCGCACTACGGGGAACTCGCTCTCGCATGCCGCACTCGAATGCGAATCGAACACCTGGGGTTATATTCAGAATTTGTTTTTAATAGAAGAAAAAATGTATATTAGAAATTCAAGCTATGAATTCGCTTCATAATAGAATGGAATAACTGGAAATTAATTCATAACACTTTGATTGTCTTACACTAACAAAAATAGTCGAAATATACGAACGAAAGCGTAAATGAATCATTTTAAATGTTAACATCTAGAATTACGTTAATGACTAAGTAAAGTAATCAAGTTTATTATCTACTACTTACTAATAAATCAATAATTATTTATGTACTATGTAATTAATCAGTAGCGGCGTAAGGGGGGGGCGGTGGGGGCGGTCCGCCCCGGGTGCCAAGCATCAGGGGGTGACAAAAGTCGCGCAGATTAGTACTCACTGCCGCATCTGCATGGCAAGGACGGTCGTGATGTCATGACAGGGGTGCCATTCTGGGGTGCCTTAGGTTATAATTNGGGTGACAAAAGTCGCGCAGATTAGTACTCACTGCCGCATCTGCATGGCAAGGACGGTCGTGATGTCATGACAGGGGTGCCATTCTGGGGTGCCTTAGGTTATAATTTATATTATGATGGGGGGGGGGGGGGGGGCCGCCCCGGGTGCCAAAGATTTTTTAAACAAGCGACACACGACGTAAGCATTGGGTACTTATTGTGATGTGCGTGACTACAGCTACACGCATCGACGTGTGTTCGCTCAAGTAACCGGGTCATACGTTTAGATTCTTGGTATAACCTAGGCGCCCAAAGTACTAAGAATCATAATTTGGTTCAAAGTACAAACTTATTTAATACAAAAGTATTATGAGAATCTTGACTATGACACCTTAATTAGAGAATCTTTTTAATTTGAATTTTGGCAATGTTATAATTATTTATTTTGAAAAAGTGCTGTGGTTTTTACAAAGAAGAATGTAGGTATTATTAGGAGTTAAACATAAAAATACCATCTAAAATATTTTTAAGTTATTATTTAGTATGATATTTTCCAAAGAATCGGTAGATACGCTATTTAGCTACAACAAATACAATGAAGAAAGCGAATGGCTAGATAACTAGTGATTATTGTGAATGAATTTCTCAGAAGTTGAACGTTCGAGTTTTGTATCGCCCGCGCGCTCGTGTCCTCGCTCATTGTGTGAGTGCGCCCCCTCTTCTCTGTGTGAAGTCGCGGCAGGCACGCACGGCAGCGGCAGCCGAGACGCGCCACACAAGTAATTGTGGCGTCGCGCTGACAGCGAACAGTCGTTTCGCAGCTAAAACAGTACGCACAACAAGCAAAGTAACTTTTACGTGACAAAACTATTTACAAAAAAGAACACTAAAAATATCACGTTACATCTATAATATTAGTGAAGTTCTAGTGAATTCCCATCATTACGGTGCAGTGTTCATATCTGACAGTTCAATGTTTGTGACATGTTGTGACATTCCTGGAAATTCGTGGTTTATTTGTAAATACAGCATTACTAACTCTTCAAGGGTATTTTGAGTCATAATTTAATTGCAACGTATAAAAGTTCTTCGATAATTTTTGATTGGTGATACATGGCGTGTGTATAATTTAATGGATAAGTAGACTAGTGGAAGACTGTTGTGGAAGGATTATTTATATCGTGGCCTCTAGAAACGAGGCGGGTGGATCAGCGTTACGTCCACCAAAGAGTGAACAACAAATGTGTGTGATAGAAAGGACAAGCAGCAGAATTAATTCGTTGAATATGACTTTAGCGGCGAGGTTACATGTACCGAGTAAGTTTCGAGGTTATGCAAACTTTATAAAGAGTTTTAAACTTGTTTGTTCTCTGTTTAAAAGCAAAATCTAGGCTGTAAATACTCACCTATGATCACTTTATAGTATTTTTAATAGATTTCGAGTAATTAACAACTTTTTTGTTCAAGTATCTGTAGTTCTGTACACATACAAACATAATGCAGTAGTTTCTCTTTTTCTCAGTAAAACATTAATGGTTGATTCATTAGCATTATTTTGCGTTTTCGCTATCAGCGGCCTGAATCTAATTTTAGTTGGTCTGATAACAGAGGATAAATATGTACGTAAAGTGTTTCTCATAATGATACTGCTTTCATTATTTATTACGCTGTGAAAATTTTATATGCATATTTTACCACTACTGCAATTGGCGAATTTCATTAAAACTGGTTACTGAGTGCAGAGTCATGATGTTGCAAGTTTTTTAAAGGTTAATTTAATATTCTAGGAATCAAATTAAACATGACAGTTTTTAGTATAATTAACTCAAACTTTACTTTCAAAAAGTTATATTATTTTAAAATTTCTTGTTAAAGTCATTGTACCCAACATTGAAAATGTTTAGTTATTTAGTCAAATAAGCAAACTGCTTTGTGGTCCACTTACCATTTTTATGCAACTGAAATTATTCAATATTTCCCTTTACTTAAAAGAGACAGTAAATCTTTTTCCCTTACTTTAATGCTAGTTAAATGTAGTTTTGTATCTGTAATCCATGTACAAATCTGTTTAATCTATTACATTTTGTAACAAAACGAATAACCATTTCTCTCTTCTTTACAGATGCATGCGTGGAAGTCGGTGTACCAATCGGCAGCTGGTCGGGAGCATGCCCAAACTGCAGGCACGAGCTCCGCGTATCCCTGGCAGCGTGCCCTGGCAAGCGGCAGGCCCCCCCAACACCACAGATGCACGTCGCATCACCGTTCCTCTTCCCACCAACATACTTCACACCGTACTGCACCCCTCTACCGCCATACGACGACAGTTTAAGAGCAAGATTAGGAGACACGTACAAAGCATTACGGTTATCAGGGTGGTACTACGGGAATTTAGATTGGCAGGTGAGTTGATTTCTTTTAATATAATTTTCTAAATATTGGTGATATTGCTTTAATTTTATTAGTGATAAGTACTAGGGGCATTATGTGGATTGTCAATTAAATACTACCACTAATTTTGGTTGTTGCATTATGAACTGAGAATGAGTCATTAACTAACAAATCATAATGGCCTTTTTGAACTTATTACATACCTTTGATTGGAGCATTTAGTTTCCTAAAAATCACTAATAATATCATTTCTACTGAAAATCACTGAAAATTGATTGAACAAAGTAGTTCCACTGACTGGTGGCGCCATCTATCAAACGCTCGGAATACTTTTACTCATAATATGAATGTGTAAAGTCTTGAATACACTATGAACCAAAATAATACACAATGCTCAAAAATGTGGTGCTGCCAGTTTTTATCCATTGGCGTACAATAATAAACATGAAAAGATATAAAAAATAATATAAATTAAATTGTTATCAGTATGACAAGACTGCCATAATGTAACTTATCTCATTCTGAATGTCACTCTAAATATAAATAGCAAGGCGAAGGTGACATTATCAGGACATCCATGATATTATTGGCGAAACCAATTATACCATAGCACAGCCTGTTGCTAATTGTGTATGATTTATCTTTTTAAAACTGTACGAATAATTAATTTAATAACATTCATGATAATTTTAATATCAATGGGAATATCCGCTTACATAATGCCCAGTTAAAAAACTTTTTCATCATTAAATTCTCTCTAATCTATAAATTAATTAAAAAAAAAAATCTTTATCAGTCAGCTTATGGTATCTGATTATTAATGTTGTGGACAAGTATGTATATCTTTAAAATGTTGTTTTCCTTCTTTACAGGGTGCACGTAGTTTATTAAAAGAAGCCAGTATAGGAGCGTTCCTGCTCAGAAACTCCGGGGACAGCAATTTCATATTCTCACTATCAGTCCAGACAGACCGAGGGCCTACGTCTGTCCGGTTACACTTCGAGCATGGGTTCTTTAGGTAAGATTTTTGTATTCTTTACTTTTTTAGGCTTAGATTTTTGTTGCAATTAAATTGAATCAAATTGATTTCATGTTTCTCAATCAAATACCTAATTTTATGATCTATCATCTAGCTGAATTAAGTGATGTTAATAATGATAAAAATCTTTGATAAATTAGTGATTGTATAAAAATCTATTAATTACAGGCCTGGATTTCATTATCTAGAAACTTTCTTAAACTTAGGTTTATTAAAGGCAGTTTCGCGATCGTTTACTGTTCTTGTTTTAACCGTAACATTAACCGGTGCTTTTGTATGGAGTTTGACGATTTTTGACGTTCGTCAAAGTTAAAGTAAGATGCAACCCAGCCTTAGCTTATAGTGAATCTAATTTCGCGACCATCACTCACAGATCCTTTCCTTTCCAGGTTAGACTGCGACCTGGTGTTAGCGAAGTACATGCCGCGGTTCCGATGCGTAGTTGAGCTAGTGCAGCATTACACGCGCGCGGGAGAGCGCTCCAGCGGCGCTGGCACCATGTGGGTGGACCGCGACGGCTGCCCACATTCCCCCGTGCTTCTCACCAGCCCCCTTCGCTCCAGCCCCCCCACCCTCCTCCACGCTGCCCGCCTTGCCCTCCATAAGGCCCTGGACTCCAATCCACTCCAACCCAAACTATGGTGCGCACCCAAACACAGACTGCTCCCTCTCCCCTCCGCTCTCATAGACTATCTCGGCGAGTACCCCTACTCGATCTGATCTGTATTATTTATTTAGTCAATCCTAGAATAAACTGTAGCGATCATAATACTGTATTTAATTTGTACAAATTGTATAGTACGCTAGCACAGGATGCTAGTGCGAAGGGCCGGCTCCTTTCACTACCGACTAACGAATTAATTTATGAATAGTTTAAATTATAACTGTATTATTCGTAAGTATTCAATATGGGACTCAACTACGGTATTTAGTGGAATGTTTACGCAGATTATTTTTGTTAAGTCAACTCTGTGTCTGTATATAGAGATGTTTTGTGAAAATATTGCAAGACTGATTCGTTGAATGTCCGCTGTGACAATGTCTTCTCTATTGGTGCTCGTCTTTCCAGTCGTTCATATGAGCTGGCCGATTCTAAGATTTAGCTGAATTGGAGCATGACAGGATCCTTGTGTTTCATTTGAATTTGAAGCAAATTGAATTATATTTCATTCTATCCAGGACTTATATCGGCTGTATAAACGACTGAGCGGACGAGCGCCCCTCCTGATATTATTATGTTAGTAAAATGTTCACTAATGCCTATCTTGTCCATTGTCTTAAGAAATCATCACAATATTTTATAGAGTTATATTTTTATTTTATTTATTTCTCGATTAAGCATTAGGGTTATCCATTCACAGATATGTGACAAGCTATTTTATCTTTGTTCCTATATTTGTATTAAGTCTTCTGATTCATTCACCACCACTTCAAGTTCCCAGGCACCCATGTAAAGTATGTAAATTCTTTTAATTTATACTTATACCAAGTGCCATCAATAAATATAACAACCATGTAATTGACCATAGGGATATATTGATGTATTTTTGAGGCTGACCATGTAAATATTTCTTGTTTTTGTTTTCTATTTATTTCTTAATTATAATTAGTTTAGTTGAATAGCTGTCGCAAAAATTTTTAACCATATAATGGTTCTTTGGTGTATGTAATGATGTAACAATAATATAGAATGGTGAAGAATAGTGATACTATAGCTAGTGATATTCACTAATGTAAGGTAAACTTAATAATTGTACCTTAAATAATCTCAATTAGAATGTAGTTTCATGGTATAAATAATTGGAATTGCTGGTGTTTTATGTTAATTTAAAATCAGCCTCGAAAATAGTTTTGTGTCATGTCTCCTGTCTTCATAAATGTATAGGTACATTATTTACTTTGTGAAACAAATTTATTTTTATACCATTTTGTAAGGGGAAAGCACCAATTAAATAAGTGTGACATAATAGGTGAATTCTTGTGTTTAAATGTTTGTAGACTAATGTATCAAAGAACTGCAAATAATTTATATACATACAATACAAAAATCAAAATATACATTCTGCCTAAAAATATACGCATTTTATTTTCGTCCTTTGCATCTACATATTTTAATGAAGTTAATTTTATAAGAATGAACCATAGAATATGAAAACGACTAACGACGCAAAGTTGTGTGAAGATTTTAAAGTTCAACAAGTAAGCCAAATAAAATAAAGAGGATTTTGCGTAATCAAAGTCAAAGTCAAAATTTCTTTATTTGTTTATACTAATAAATAGTTCTTACAAATCGTCATAAAATATGCTCTTAAGGAGCCTCTACATGTCTCATAATCTTTTTACCCTACCAGCGCTTCGAGACCAACATTTGGCAAGTGCTGAGAAGAAGCGCCGCAACAAACTCAGTCACCACTGTCTGCCGGTTAATATAAATAAATAGAAATAGTAGTAGTAGGTACATTCATTCGATTCAGGAGCAGTTCACTGAATTTACCATGCATTCTTGTATGGTGTATCATAAGAATGGGTAGGTATACAAGATTGCGTGGTATATTAAACAAGGTAGTGACGTGCTAATATCTAGACTTACATATTAAGGTACTAGTAGAAATGACTCGCATACATAAATTTGAATAACTTGGATTGACCAGTCCCCGAAAGCAGCGCCTGTTCACAGACATGACGAGTGAACCAGCCATCGCTTCACTCGACCATATTAGAGGGAATGTAACGACCCGCCTCACTACGCCACCACCCCAGAGACATTTTAGTGAGAATGACAAAGCCAAGTTATCTCTGTAAAAAAAAACTAATAATAAAGCTAAGTAACAGTCCAGATTGAGAAGCATGACACTATAACATTTGAGAAATTATTATTAGTTTATACAATATTACTTTTCATTTTAATTCTTTTTAGTGCGAGCATGAGAGGACCATAATCCTACTCCCAGGATGACTTATCATTAAGAAAATCTCGAGTTGTATAATAGGCTTTTTTAAGCATGTGATCTTTAACTATACCTTTAAATTTATTATACGGTAGCTCTTTATATTTATCAGGGACTTTGTTATAAAAATGGATACCTTGTCCCATAAAAGTGGCAAACACTTTATTAAGTCTAAAAGCGGGTATAGCCAATTTATTTTTATTTCTAGCGTTAATTTGGTGAATATCACTTTTCTTTTTGAATTCGTTAATATTTTGTTGAATATAATCATTATTTTTTCATTCGTACGATTGCGCTAATAACACTGACAATCCAGTCGAGTTAACTGCGCACCTGGCGATGTGACGTCATATCGACGCTTTGGTACGAACGCGTAGCGTGGTGCACAGTAATCTCGACTGGGTTGTAAATACTAGTAAGTAGGAGTCTTTTATTCTAAGCTTTTAATAAATACGAAAATAATCTTGGCGGAACTTTAGCTGAAGATAGTCTGTGCGTAGCAGTTCGTAGGCATTTTAAGACCAACGCCTTTGCCCCTTCTTCCTCAATAGGGATGTAGAATATTAGTATTCAATTAAATCTTTCGTATCATTCAATGAAGAATGTTCACTAATTTTGTTTTTTAGCTTTCTGTATTCTCTGTTAAAAATAAAAAATACACGTGAAAGAATTATTTCGATACGTCAATTAGTTTCCAAGATATTGAATTTTAAAGGTGCGGGCGGCGGCCGGCCCGCCATTTTATGCGCGTGACGTCATAATAATACAGCGACTGGCTCAAATTTGTATGGGTGGAATCTTGCAAGCTAAAATTAGACCCACTTCTGGACAACCAATTAAGCTAAAATTTCGCATACACATGTAATTTGGATGACCATGCAATATTATGATGACATAGAGTTGATCTGATGATAGAGTTGGAAGGTGGCCATAGGAACTCCATAATAAAACGACTTAACTCCATCGAGTTTGGGCTCGTTCGTTTTGTATTGACGAGTACTTCAATTCTATATAGTAATCAGGGTCTGATGATAGAGCTGGAAGGTACTTCGCAATAAAACGTCATGTTTGGGTTTGGTTCAATTTTGATTTCTGTGATGGGTCTAGGTATTAATATGTATGATATGTATGTATTTACAAAAAAAAAATGTATTTAAGTATGTTTATATCCGTTTTCTAGTGAGCGTACGCTGTGAATGTACGTCACGCGGGGTCACGTGACCGTCGGCGGGACTGGATATTTAAGCGAACTTTGAATGCCTATAAAATCATAACTACTTGGTATTTTTGAATGAAATAAAAACAAATGTATTTGTATATGTAAAAGCTTAAAAAGGTTTCAAGTGATTTTGCATAACCTAGTAACATTCTCAATTGTAATAATTTAATCGATTTAAATTTTATTTAATTAACATATAAATAAAAGAAACAAAATGATGTTGAAACTATAGGAATAATTAATTAAGTATGAATAATGTTGCCATACGTTATGATTCCAAGATAATATAAATGCCCATGCTGAAACTCACGCGCGTCTCCACGCATTTGAAAATGCGCCCAAAGTCCCAGAACGGTAGATGAGGCCGTTGGGAACAAGCACCCCTTCGCGACGAATGTAATAAAAATAATAATAATAAATTGAACCCGGGACCTCTCGGCATAGTAGTCCGTTCTGAACCACTACACCAAACGGTCGACAAAGTAATAATAATTCACGTAAATAAGCTCAAATCATACTTATAAATTATTATAATACAGCAGGTAGACTATTTTTATACTCGAGTTCGGCGAGGTCATTTAAAATGTCTCTCTTGATGTTAATGAAGTAAAAAAAAACAGTTCATAATTACTAATTTATGACTATGACTAGAATATTATTATATGTATACGATATCATCAAATATCATGTATTGATATCGATATTTCAATTAATATAACTGAACAATGATGATGTACATCCCTAAACAAAAAAATATGACATATGACAGCTGTCAAAAGCTGATTTCTTTCTCGTTCTGTGGTGCATCTGCCGATTTGTGTAATTGTGTGCGACTTTATTGATTTTATTTTGTTGTAGTACTATTTCATTATTAGATCGTATTTTGACTCATTAATATTAATAATCGTAAAAGATGTAAGATAATTAGATGGTTGCCACTAAAAACGCCATGTCCGCAAATGGGAACGGCGGTAACTACGCGCCACTGAAGCAGATACTGTCGGACTCTGAATCTGAAGACGACAAGCTGGATAATGCTGTTCACATCAAAGCTACTGATAGTTGCAACAATTTGGACTTCAACAGTGGTTTACAATCGTCTAAGAACTACAGTTTGAGTGACATGGACGAGTTTAACACCAATATGAATACAGTCGAAAGTACGATGGATAACGTGAGCTTCCTGCAGTCTGATGTGTCCAACAGGATGTCTTTCCCGCGTCTATGCGCCTTCATCACCTCGATCGTGGTGTGCTTGCTAACTGTGGTCGTTTTCTTATGGGGGATACCTTGTTCCGAGGTCGGTAGCTGCGTCAATGAGTGGCACGACAAAACAACTAGCTGGGAGCTTCCGTACGACGAAATAGAGTTGTCGGGTGCCGTCCAAGTTGTAGAGGGGGCTATACCAAACACGAAAAACCTGATATTCATATACAGAGGAAATCATATGAAAGACGAGAAATCTAATTACCAACACGACAATGTAAATGGTGTGCTATTAATCGTTGGGAACTCTGGCAAGGTGGGCTGGTACACTAGAGACAATAGGATCCCAACTGAAATCAACTGCCACCTGATTGATGTGAGCAGAGACAACCAGAAGGACTGTATAGTTTCAGGGTCAGAAGGTATGCTCGCTGCTCTAAATCCCTTATCTGGAACTTATTACTGGAATATCCACAAACATGGACAGACACTGAATATTGCAGCAATTGATTTCCCCATTCTATTGAAAGATATGGACAAAGACAAAGTTAGTGATCTGTTGACTGTAGCAACAGTACTCCCAAACACAAACCATAATTCTTTGTTGATTGTATCTGGTGCCACTGGAAACATAATTGGTGAACCCATGTCTATAAATGATTGTTTATCAGTCAAATTACTTACTGAGTCAGACACAATTACATACATCTGCAAAAATGGAACAACAGAAGCCGTAAGAGTTATATCTTATCCAAATCTGTATAGAAAACTCTTGAAACTTGACAAATCAACAAATTATACAGCATCCAGAACTTCTGTCAGTAAGCCAATAAACCTGAGTCTCAAGAGGAATATAGGGAACACACGGGAGACATTCACCAATGGTCCAGGACAGTTGATTGTTGAAAACTCTGGGGAGTGCCCAAATTCATGCAGGGTCAACTTGAAACTGATTCTGGAAAGAAATGGCACAACAAATGCCAGCTGGGAGTACACTGCTGGCCATGTTTATGCCATGAGGCCTAGCTCTTTTGCTTTTGCAAACTCAATACGAGGCTTTGTACTAAAATTATGACAGTGGAACAGCGCACACCATGCTAATAAAGGTGTGCAAAAACTCGATGAAGTACGATACAATGTACAAAATCAGAGCCCAAAGAACTACAATGATGTATTTTATTACAAGTCCAATATAGATGTAGCTTCTATTGCTTCATTCATAAAGTATACTAATTTCACTGTTCATGAAATATCAGAGAGGATAGTGTTGGTCTCATTTGACAAAATGCAGACTCATAATGTGAATGTCAGTCAGACTGACATCGTGCAAATATGTGTCCGTGGGCCGGTAGACACAAACGCACCTTTACCTCTATGCCAACCAGACTTGGAGTATCAGGAAAAGTCTTTGATGATTGCAGATTTGGATGGTGATCAGTCTCATGAACTGATTTCCTACTACAGTACCTTTTCTCCTCCTGAGTCATATTCTCCAAAGAACACCCCAAACCCATATGATAATTGGCGATTAACGTCAATCGTGAGAGTCATCCGGTTAGAATCTGAATTGCCAAAACTGTTTGTTGCTGATAATTAAAGTTTTAGGCAGATTTTCACTCCATATTTAAATTTAGTGAGCTTTAGGTTTCAAATATGCCAAACTTTGCTAATGTGCTGTAATATGTAGCCTAAAAGCTAGGTCTAGTCATTCGGTGAATTACTAATAAATGTATAATCTATGTTATAGTTTATCATTCATGCATTACTAATTGATAAAAGTTTATTATATCCATTTTCACTCGCCTAAAGTGTTCAATGTTAAAAGCAGGGTTCGAAAATATCCTATATTTATGAAATATATCGGATATATATCATAAGGATATTTTCGAACCCTGGTTAAAAGTGTAATCAACTAGTTTTAAGATAAAATAGTTAGGGATTATATCAAATAAGTGTGCTATCAACTCTAGAATCTCAAGTTCGATATATTTATTTAATTATCTTCTAAACTTTACTAATAAAGTGTATACTATTCTCATGTAATTTCGAAAGTAGGTATAGTTTTACTAACTTGTAATCCAAAGTTTTTTTTAAGATAATGAACTTATCAATGTTTTATTGTGGAAGTTATTTGAAATAGTAATAAAATTAATATGTTGAAATCTGAATTGTGAATCAAATGCTTATTGTATGTAATAATAAATGGTGTAAATTACATGCTTGGCATTGTACAAAAAAATCTCACAATAATGTGAACATTAGAAAACATTGAATAGTTTTTATTTTTTAGTTTAGAAATGAAGGTTCCAATGTATTTAACCTGGATTGTTATAACGTTTGACAAACTGCACAGGTATGCACAATGTAAAACTATTAAGTAGGATTTTTGTAAGGATGGATGTGAATACTTAAATATTGTACTGCAATTTTAATAGTACTTATCATGAGTGTCAAAGTTGATATTTTACTATAAACATACTTTGATAAATGCATCCTATCTGTATGTTTTGGTCTGCGCTATTGATAATCCAAAGATACAATATGACCTGACACTGATCTTTACAAAACATTTTTGTATTAATTGTAAGTGCAGTACAATATTAAAGTTTATGGATGTGATTAGAGGAAGTGCCTTACCACGGGGCGATGGTCTAGATTTTGCATTGTAATTTCGTTTGAATATAAATTATTATTATATTAACCATTAGTTTCAATGTTCTTCCTATGAATTAAAAAGCAGTTTTCTCTTCAATATATTTATTTGACTCATTTACCGTTGGTAATATGGTAAAGAAACAGTTTCTATAATATTAGGAACTTAAAATATAAACACATTTCGTTTATATTTACTATCCGTTCGCTTTAAGTTTGCCGCTGGCGATATGACGTCACTCGGAAGGGAAGCGTCTATAACTTTATCAAACAATATTTAAAATATTTATTATTATTATTGATAAAAATTGTGTATTTGCGTAAAATAAGACACATTAATTGCGTTTACTAACTAATTGCGTTTAGTCGCGGTTGGGGGAGGGGACGCGCATTCCACGGACCGGCAAACTTAGCGCGAACGGGTATAAATGACAAGACCAAAAAATATCACTTTCAAACTTATGTTATGAGCCTGGAAATACCTTTGAGATACATAAACATAACTTTTTAAATACAAAATGTACATTTTATTAGATGATGACATTCAGTGACCCGTAATTGTTGTGTAGAATGTGCTATAATGTGTCAACATATCACAAAACCTAACCTTATGTATTATTCTTAAAAATAAATTCTTAATAATTGATCTCAATTTGGCTTACGTCATGTAGGAAACTAAAGAAATAAAACTAGGTGACAAATCACATATAAATAAAACGATAATTTCTTTTATCAATACTCGCTGCTAAATCTATTTAAAAATACACCTTTGGGAGAAACTCATTGTAGTTATGATAGTGTTTTATTATGACATTTATAACAGAATGGGTTAAGGTTAAAATAATACAGTAAATAATTCAGAAACATTAGTATTTGGTAATACGTGAATTCGTTTTGGAATATTCCCTTTGTTCTGACCCAATTTTATTACATTATCTGCTAAGAAGTAAAAAATCTATCAATCACATCATTCTACCCTATTTCCTCCAATGTCCAAGGGACAATTCAAGGTACACCGTTTCACAACATCACTTCCAGATCTTGTCAAACTCTAGACCTCACACAAGTCAACCAGCGATTTCAGCAACTTTCTAGTCAAAATGTAATGGACACACTCGGATAAAATAGGCCATTGTCACTCTCATTGCCCGTTAAGAGCCATTAACAAAAAAAAGCGGCGCAGGAGTTTAGTCACGTGACGCTATGTAATTGCACGCGCAAAATACTTAAACTGTTTACATATTGGATATTTTAAACTATAAAGCAAATAGCAGTAAACAGTCAATACCAAAAAAATTTATAGACATCAGTTGAGCTTACTACTATTATTATGAATGAGATTTAAAACTGCTCTAACACAGTTTTAGTTAATGAATACTTTGTCACTATTTCCAGTTGATATGGATATGATAAAGAGGCTAAATACTGTTTTGGCTATTGTTTCGCTCAGAGATGAGATGATGAGACTTCCAGTATTTTAATATAGACATTTATTACCTTAAACCTAATTAAACATACAATAAAACATACAATTTATGCGTAACTCATAAATGGAAGCACAAATTATGTATCTCAAATGACTAAAACAAACATAGAAACTTCTGTTGCCAAGCAAATAAGTATTTAAATGGTTAATTACGTCACAATTATCTTAACCCTTGCACATATAAAGCAATACTAAACACTTATTGGTAAGCCTACGACATCGATTACAACAATTTTAAATCTTCAAAAGCAAATAATCTTTCAGTGAATAAAGACAAGTTTGAATTGTCCAAAAAGTGTTGCTTCTAGCAATTTTATAAAAATATATCCAAGTGATTTTACAGAGAATTTTACAATTCGAGTAAAAACATAACAATTGATTTTTATTTATTTATTTCCCGAGTTATGTTTAAGGAAATTTACGAATACCTTAAAATCGATCGGAATGTAATAATATCAGTATAAATGTATGCGAAGAAGTTTTAGAGCAGGTCCTTAGTCGTCAGTGTCATGAGATCCTGAAAAACAAAACAAAACAATTTCAACAATCACAACATACGTGAACCCACCTTATCCACGCAATATTAGCAACATCAACCCCCTTATTAATAAAAGTTACGCCCTAGTTGAACTCTGGCTTAAATTGTCATTTATAGTTCCAAAATACTGGACTGTCCTATCGATAACATTGACAGTGGGGCGCCACCGTCAATACCGGATCGCTGGTTCAGATTTTTGCCATGTTGGAAACCATATAGTTGAACGATGGTAGCGCCCCCCTGTCATTGAGTTTGGTGGGACAGTTCAGCGTGGGTCATCTATAGTATGGAAATTATGTCATTTTAATCCAGTGTTCATTGTTCATCCTAGATGTAACTTTTTATTTATTAATAAGGGGGCATGAGTACATTTTTGGAAGAACGCAGATCCGAAAAGAACGAGATACGAACCCAGTTACTTCTAATTTCCTTTTTGTTTGCGGATGTAATGCTGTACGGATACTACGGATCGCATACATTATGAAGAGCCCCTTGACGAATGGAAATTACACACATGAGCTATGTTTGGGTACTCAATAAAAGCTTTGCGTTTACTTAAGGGAGGTGACGAAGAATAACTCCTTGCATGCACTACGTCAACTCCTAAACTTTCCTTCTTCACACAGTACAACGGTACAGTCAATAAATAAATAAATAAAACATATATCCTTGGACATTTTACACTGCGCTTCTAGTCCCAAACTAAGCAAAGCTTGTACTATGGGTACTAGACAAGACAACGGATATAAACATACTTAAATATTTTTTTTGTAAATACATACATATTATACATAGAAAACACCCAGTCCAATACAAACAAATATGTTCATGCACACAAATGTTTGTACTGTGCTGGAATCGACCCCGCAACCTCCGGAATAGTAGTCCGTTTCGACCCACTACACCAAATGGCCGACCGTCAACAAAACATCAATAATATTTTTCATGGATAAAAATAACTCTAAAAATAGCTCCTATCACGACTAGATAAGATACCTGGTTCATGCGGTCACGATTTCATGGTGACGTACGCGACTTTAAACTCGTTTAGTTCGACCATGTCACGTGCCGCTTTATTGTAAAAATCGTCTCTAATACAGCTGTATTAGATGCCAGTGTTTGCGACAACGAACTCCTTCAGTCACGAGCTGCTTTATTGTAAAACCGGCCCTAGTTTAGACACCAGTCTCTCGCAAAGGTTCTGTTATTGTAACATTCACAATATTGTAGTACCCATTATTCTTTGTTACCTTTGTGAAGAGAAAATAAACATTTATTTTATTATTATATACTTCTTGATTTTTTCTCCATCTTTTTAAAGATGGGTTATTATGTCTGTTATGCAGGCCTCAGCCAAGCATAACAGCATTAAATGACGTTAAGTCCGATGACAAGAATTTACGGGTGAGACGATAAGTGTTCAGAATTACGGCCTTTTGTAGCAAGTATGTTATTTTTTCATGTTACCAGTGATAACTTATGGCTCGGAAACGTGGCCTCTCACTATAGGCCTTATACAGAAGCTCAAAGTTGCACAGCGTGCTATGGAGAGGGCTATGCTTGGTGTTTCTTTGCGAGATCGAATCAGAAATGAGGAGATCCGTAAACGAACCAAAGTCGCTGACATAGCCCGACGGATTAGCAAGCTGAAGTGGCAATGGGCAGGGCACATAGTACGCAGAACTGACGGCCGATGGGGCAGCAAGGTTCTGGAATGGAGGCCGCGTACCGGAAAACGCAGCGTGGGACGTCCACCTACAAGGTGGACCGACGACATCGTAAAGGTAGCAGGGAAGCGCTGGACGCAGGCCGCTACCAATCGATCAACATGGAAAGCATTGGGGGAGGCCTATGTTCAGCAGTGGACGTCCTGTGGCTGAAATGATGATGATGATGTTATTTTTTCATTATTGTCTAATTATTACGACTGCATAAGATACCTGCCTCAAGCAGGCACGATCCTCGTAGTGATGTGCGAGTCGGGCACCACGGCGAACTCCTTCAGATCGACAAATGCTTGCGCCGCCAGCTGCTCGGCCACGCTGTAGCCTTCTGCGTCGAATAACTCGACGATTAGCTCGTCGTAGTCGCGCCCGCTGCAACAAACGATTCATAATGTTTAGGAAGTGAACTGACTTTTATGTACAGTCGCGGAATGAAAAGGTTCGTCACCTTAGTGTCGGTTTTCGCTTGCACTAGGTACTGTAAGAGTCAAACCTGCCAACATAACCGTGCAAGAAACAGTGCTGCTAACATTTAAATAAATATGACTGCCCACTGTTGGGACTGACACATGATGCGTATATGACTCACATGATCCTGGCGTCCAGAGTCCGGTCTTGCACCATGCTAGTGAGTGCGCACTTAGCCCCTGCCCACTGTTGGGACTGACACATGATGCGTATATGACTCACATGATCCTGGCGTCCAGAGTCCGGTCTTGCACCATGCTAGTGAGTGCGCACTTAGCCCCTGCCCACTGTTGGGACTGACACATGATGCGAATATGACCACAGAATAATAATAATAAGTACTACGTACAGAAGTTTTGCTTCGCGAAGGTATTTAAAAAAATGTATGCTCAATGTCATTAACAATATGGTGTAATTTAGCCTGTCTCAAGAGTCAAGCACCATTTTGTTGACAAACGTCAGTGATCGGCACTGCGCCGAAGCTATAGGGCTGACTTCGGTAAAATGATGTGACGTGAGGTGCCAAACTGCGGAAAATGGCGGAGGAAATACATGATTTAGCATGAATTATCATGAATAATATTAACTACTTATTTACCTCTCAGTGTCTTGAGGCAACTTAAAAAAGTACATTTTGTGTTTTTATTATTATTTAGGCAGATAAATACTGCACAGTATTTAGTACACCATTTTCTTAATTTTCTTCCATCATACACAAGAATACGCGTGCGTGAGTCAATGTTCGCTCGTATGTGAGGCCTTGTCGAATAGTATCCTGTAGGTGGGCCATCGTGCGTGTTTTGTTTTCGATGTAAACTCGCGGAGATGAACAGGCCTGATATGACTCACATGATCCTGGCGTCCAGAGTCCGGTCTTGCACCATGCTAGCGAGTGCGCGCTTAGCCTCGGCCCACTGCTGGGACCGATGCGAGCGCGCGCTCACACCGGCTAATACGCAGCGCACGGCTTGCTCAGGCAGTAGCAGGTAGCGTGGTTCCAACGCGCGAATATCGTCTTCCTTCACCCACACCACGTTGCCGTAGTCTACGTAAACCACCTGCAAAAAATGTTTTACATAGAATAAAACAAATCGATAAAATAGGGATGTTTCCTGGGTCAAAAAGCAAGAGTTTTAATTAGTCCGTCAGTTAACTTATAAAAAAATACTCTACACGTATTTTTCACTTTTTCAAACTAATGAAAATTTAAAGAGATAAAGCGCGCCAAAGTTCATGAGAAGAGGCCCGTGACACAAAATATAACAGAAGGTAAACTCATGTATGTACCTCGCTTTGCATACCTCTCTCGCTCTCACGCTCGGCCGTCGCGCCAGGGTTGTCTTGTCATGTGTTGTGTTTATTTCGTTATGATAGAAAAATGTTACTCTTAATACTATGCAAGAAAGACAATAACAGATATCCACGTGTACTTATTTATATTTAGTACGTTATTATAGTAATAGTTTGCAAACAAATACACGAGAAGGAAGGAGTATTTAGTTGAGTGGTTGACACTATTATCCAACTAATATTATAAATGCGAAAGTTTGGATGTCTGGATGTTTGTTGCTCTTTCACGCAAAAACTACTGAACGGATTTTGATGTAACATTACAGTATTATTGTTTATAACCCTGAATAACATACAAGCTATAATTTATGACGATCTGTGACAAACTAAATTTCACGCGGGTGAAGCCGCGGGCAAAAGCTAGTTATCCAATAATTCCTAAAACCTCTCTAAAACAATTCGATATTCCTAATAATTGAGTTGGCTTTCAATTTCAATTGAAATTCAAATAAATAACTTACTTACCTCCCCGAATCAACTGGTAATTTAAAAAATGAGAGCAAATCGCGCTAATAATTTTCCTGCAACTTCACGGCGGATATTTTCTTACAGAACCTGAATTATTTAAGGATTGTTTTGCTGTAAACTTTTGACTTGAGATATCCCCACAAGAAAAATTCGCATGGTGTGAGATCAGATGACAGAGGCGGCTAGAAAAAATAGTCCTCAGTGTCTCCATCGAGGTACTCTCCGTGTGTGGTGAGACACCTTCTTGCTGTGAAAACTCTTTGGTTTTATTTGTATTCAATTTTGAACTTGGAAAATTTACAATGTAACCTCACTTCAAAACTCCACAAGAGTTTGACAATACCGCGTCCGTTCAAGTCTGATTGGAACCATGAGTGCATCAGATTCACTCCCGAAGATATCGGAACGATAAACGTCACCATCTTATTCACGTATTTCTGATATTCGGTTTGGCCGAAGCTTCGGCTGGTTTTTGGCCGAAAACGAAAATATGGCCGAATGTCCATTTTTTGGCCGAAAATGGCCGAAAACAAAAACGAATATTCGGTCGGTCACTAGTGTCGGCCAATAAAAAAAAGTGCTGTATTCTGACAGAATACGTCCGCCTTAGCATTTGTTACTATGGCACCAAAGCTGTAGCACCACTGTGCGTCGAGTATTTGAGATCTAAAATTCATCGACGATTCATACATTTTTTGTTCAAAATAAAAAATGTCGGCCAATAAAAAAAAAGTGCTGTATTCTGACAGAATACGTCCGCCTTAGCATTTGTCATTTAAATTTAATAATAAAAAAAACAACCCCCAAGGGTGGAAAATTGGGGATGAACTTTTTTATACGCAATATCTCCGCCGATTATAAACCAATTTGAACGATTATTTTTTTGTTGAATAGGTATTATTAAAAGGGTGATTTCATGCGAATTTGAAGAAAATATTTCACCCCCAAGGGTGGAAAATTGGGGATGAACTTTTTTATACGCAATATCTCCGACGATTATGAACCAATTTGAACGATTATTTTTTTGTTGAATAGGTATTATTTGTGTTCACGCATTTGAAGTCGTTTTTTTTTTTAAAGTTATAATTATTAGAACTCAAATACTACGATGCACAGTGGTGCTACAGCTTTGGTGCCATAGTAATAAATGCTAAGGCGGACGTATTCTATCAGAATACAGCACTTTTATTTTTTGGCCGGCACTTTTGATTTTGGACCAAAATGGATGATGTCCTTTTTTAGGAAACTAGCCTATTCCTCGATAAAAGTTTATCGTGGCGCGTGATAAAATCTCGATGAGTTTAAACGACAAATGTATGGGCTTATCGAGTGAAATCGATAAAATGGCGTGATATAAGCTAAGCAGACGTACTAACAGCTCTGTCTATTTATCACCCAGCGAGAGATGGAATGGAAATGCTAGAAGCGTAGTGGCGGCAACGCATTGATGGCGATCACCAAAATTAAGGATTAAAGGAACGTTAAAAGTTGATCCTACGAAATAAAACACAGAAACATAAGATCGCAAAACTACATTTTTCTCGAATGTTACTAAACTTTACCTAGGGATAAGATCTCCTAGAGAGACCACTTACTTCGACATTCTGGTCTGCTCGAGTCACGGAGAGCACTCGGGCGCGATACCACTGGTTGTCCAGTGGGTACAAAGCTGCTACCAATTCACCGGGGGCTGGTGTCAACTGCAAGAAACATTATGATGAGCTAACAATACAGCTACTGTCCACGTAATTTCAAATATGTTATGTACCTATTAAGTTAATATACCTCGCGGAATAGAACTAGCAGCATCACTGTGATAAAAAGAGATGCGTTATGCCAAATAATATTATCGTTTTTTTTTGCAACTATTTGTCAGTTTCTTAGCACTCATTGGCACGTTGAAAATTTTAGCGCTGAGATTTTACGTGAGTGAAATCGTGGATGTTTATGAGTAAATGTGCAAATTTTTATCGATTGAATGAAAACAGTGAAATAATCCTGAAAACTGGCACACAAATGACATCCAGTGACATCCTAAATTCGGGTTCGTTTGACAGCTCGTGGTTATTGCTCTATTCCGAAGGAATATTAACTTTATGGTTATACCTTAATTTCGCTTGCGAAGAAAAAGAAAACCATTAAGTCACACTGTTACTCGTTAGAACATTTATCTGTTTACCTATCTTTCACACTGTAACCGGTATTTTCTGACTGAAATCCTTACATTAAGACTAGGCACAAACCACCGATTTTTAGTTGGCCGATAGTTGTGCCCGATTTTAAATTGTATGAAGAATCGGCCAAATCAAATCGGTGTAATGTGCGCACTTCCATACATGCCCATACTGATCAACTGCCCGACTAAACTATCGGCCGACGAAAAATCGATGGTCTGCGCCTAGGCTAATTGTAATAATTTTTGTGTCTTACCACGAGCGGCTTGTAGCTCATGCGGGCAGCTGGGCTGTTCATGTCGCGCACGAGCCTGGTTAGCGACTTCGGCGGGAGCACCACGCCGAAATTCGGCACTTCGTCGTCTTCTGACAACATAACGTTAGCACGTCAATAATACAGGATAATTATAAGTACTACGTACAGAAGGTTTTCTTCGCGAAGGTATTTAAAAAAATATATTTTGCTCAATGTTCGCAACGATATGGTGTAATTAAGCTTGTCTCAAGAGTCGAGCTCCATTTTGTTGACAAACGTCAGTGATCGATACTGCGCCGAAACCATATGGCTGACTTCGGTAAAATTATGTGTGACGTGAGGTGCCAAACTGCGGAAAATGGCGGAGGAAATACATGATTAAGCATAAATAAAATTATATTTTGTGTTTCTATTATTATTTAGGCAGTTAAAATACTGCACAGTATTAATTACACCACCGATTTTATATACATAGTTTATTGTCTTTACAATTCAAAAGGGTGAAAAATACACGTGCGTGCGTCAATGCTCGCTCGTGATTGTCCTGTCGATTAGTGATCTCTATCTGGCTGCGGCAGCGGCATAGTCTTCAGTTTGGCCACCACCTTTTTGTAACCTTATCTAGAGACTTTCGTTCGTTTCAGCCAAATGACGTCCACTGCTGGACAAAGGCCTCCCCCAAGGATTTCCACAACGACCGGTCCTGCACCGCCCGCATCCAGGCACCTCCCGTCCTTTACCAGATCGTCGGTCCACCTAGTGGGGGGCTACTCACCCCTTTTCTTCTCCTGCAGTAGTCACCAACACCCGGTACCACGTGTACGGCTGCGGCAGCGGCATAGTCTTCAGTTTGCATACCACCTACTAACATCGGACGTCCACTGCTGAACATAGGCCTTCCCCAATGCTTTCCATGTTGCCCGTTTGGTAGCAGCCTGCGTCCAGCGCCTTCCTGCTACCTTTACGATGTCGTCTCCCACGCTGCGTTTTCCGGTACGCGGCCTCCACTCTAGAACCTTGCTGCCCCATCGGCCGTCAGTTCTGCGTACTATGTGCCCTGCCCATCTGAAAACCTTACATGAAACAAAACAGAAACTCACCCATTTTCTTCTCCTGGACGAACTGACGGAAAAGAGCCGGTCAAAGTGGCAGTCTTAAGTTTGGCGACCACCTCCACCCAATAACCTTATCTGAAGACTTTACTTCAAACTCACCCCTTCTCTTATCCCGAACGAACTGCACGTAGAGCCGGTCGTAGTGGCACACGTATGTCACCACCACTTTATGCCAGGTATCTGGCTGCGGCAGCCGCATGGTCTTCAGCTTGGCGACCACCTCCACCTTGTCTAGGGTCCAGCCGTCTGAAGAAAGGCAGTGTTAAAGGCAGTTGCTTTGCAGGGAAGACACGTTCGTATCTTTATCGAATTAACTGATCGTAACATGACCTTTTATTAGCACTAAGCGCTATGCTATACAGGGTGATTTTTGTATCAGTATCCAAATTTTCAGGATCGACTCAGAATTAGTAACTTAATTGATTTACGTAAAGAAAATAAAACTTTTTCCTCCATATTTAATTATTTTCATCCGCTGCGCGCGGTTTCCAAATTGACTCACGTGGAAAATTTGCTTCGTTCATGGAAAAAAATGTACACACAGTTAACTGCAAAGCTTAATAGACATAATGGTGAGCGAAAATAAACAATAACCTTTAAAACTTAAGATACCCGCGAATTAGACTTTCAATTTTTTTTTTTGCGAAAAATACTACAATTAAAAATAATTACGATATAGTTGTATTGTCAAATTGTTCTAACGAGCTTATTAAAAAAATTTCGATACTGATAACAAAGTCACCCTGTATAGTATTGTCTAACACACTGCCAAAGAGTGCAATATAATCTTGTAGCTATATCTTTGAGAAGAGGCTTACAACAGTAACTGAGTCTCTGTCACTGCTTATTTTCACCACTGGCCTATATTACTATCCCAAAGCAGTGGTAGGGATGGGAGGTGTAAAAGTGTTTTTTGGGAACCTACTAGCATAAATAAACCATTTCAATTGAAATTCTGTCAGCCTCTGTTTTCTCTAAATCTCACAGCCTAAAGCAAGCTCGCTCTACCATAGATCACATCTGCACCCCTCAGGTGAGATTATTATTATACCCGTATTCATAAACGATGCTTGCTTAAGTGACGCAGCAAATCGAACGCACAGTGTTGAATAGAGCTCTGTGATTGGTTCGTGTGTCAGACCTAATAGTAATGTTTGTGAATACGGGCGTTTGTCCACGCGCATTGTGAGACCTCATAGTAATTAAAGTTTATTAGCGAATAGTCGCTTCTCAAACTAAATTTTAAATAAATTACTTGAAAAAAATCGAACTGAATATTTAAAATCTCATAGTAATGTTTTTGGATACGGGCGTTAGCCAGTCAGCCTATAGGCGATTATCACACTGCACCGCGCTCCGCCGCGGTACGCGGGACGACAGATTGTGTGCAAGTACCTCAGTTTGTATAGAAAACACGCGATGCACAACACACTGACAACGCGTCTGCGCGCGGGATTCTTTATATGTAGCCACGCGGACCGCGGCGGAGCGCGGTGCAGTGTGATAATCGCCATACTTGGCGGTATTGTTCATCCTTAACAACTCACCAGGATGTTTCACGATGTGTTTCTTGGTGCACCTGGCGCCCTTGAAACAGGTTTTGCCCACGCCCTTGTAATGCTTGCAGATGTCCGCCTCGTCGCGGTTTGAGTAACCCTGGTGTTGTAAAATTACCTCATTTGATTATAAATTCATTGATTTTAACGAATACTGATGGTATTCGTCAGTTAGTCAGGAGATGACATATTTTTAAGGACTATTGAGTTAAGTGTTTTTAGTTTAATTTCGTGTAAAGTAATATTTTTACAAAAAAACCCTATGGATTTATGATATAACGCGTATTGTGTATCATTAAACGACTTTTCTTATGCCCTTCTTTACCATCAATCCCTACATTTTAAATGACCCCTATGGTAACACATAACAGGAATTTTGTTTTCATAGTGGTCACTTAAAAACTAGGGATTGATGGTGAAAACGGTCATTGGTCATGGCCTGCTTGCCAACACTTAAAAATTCAAATAAATCAACGTAATTTAAATAAAATATTTACCGTAACCGCCTCAACGGGATCCTCGTACTCGGGACACTGCGTGATATCCTCCGCGCTAGCCACCAATCCCCCGGCCGCTTCATCCAATCGATCCTCCTCAGTCCTTGGTACGTCTGCTAAACAGAATAACAATGCATTTGTTTAGAAAACCAATTATCACTAAGAACTCACGGCGCGGGTAAAAATCGCGCCAATCAGGTCACTGGTACAAAATGGTCGCCCGCCAATCGATCGCAGAGCGCGCGGGAGAAAACCGCCGAGGCTGCGGTTACCGCGGCCCGCGCGATTCTACTATAGTCTGCCCCGGGAGCACGTAGAAATTTGTCCAATGACCCCAAGCGAGCGATAAGGATGGGCCTTATCGCTCGCGCGTATGTTGCTGTTGCGCTCGCACACTCACTGCGGGTGCCCGTCGCACAGTCGCGACAGCAATATAATCACGTGCGAGCGATAAGGATGGGTAGCTTGGGGTCAATGGACAAAATTCTACGTGCTCAGCGACCAGACTATAGTCGCCCACCGGTGCCGCGGGACCCGCATACAACCGCGCACGCTGCGGGCGCAAACTGCATCGTGAGTTGTGGATTAGTTTTTACATAAGTATCTGCATTCTACAGAAGCTGCGGGCCCGCAACCACCGCGGGCGTGGATGAAAATCGCACCGTGAGTTCTTAGCCTAAAGGCTCTTTCCAATTATACGTATTGAACACACACACACCCGTATTTACAAACCAGGCTTGATTAAGTGAAGCAGCAACGCTATGTGAAGTCGAACGCACAGCGTTGAAAAGAGCTCTGTGATTAGTTCGTGTGTCAGCCCGCCACTCAAGTATTGTCTATGAATAGGTTTTTGGGACACCGCGCAATGTGAGACCTCATAGTAGTTTAATATGACCTGTTTAACTTTTGACATTGTAAATTTATTAACTGACATTATTTAATACATTAATTTAATTTATGACACTGTTGGTATAATAATAACCTGACTGAATTATTTGCACATCTGCTTGCAGGCTGAATACATGGTAATTTAATAGCTTTAAGATCTGCTTTGTAAAACGAGCATGGTATATATTTTAGCAAATAAATTATTGAATTCGAATAATGTTTGTGAATACGGGTGTTATCAAAATAAAAATATTTTATTCTATTTTGACCACTGGTGGCACTTCTGATATGATTATTTTACTGTTGGTAATAGGCTAGATGACAAAATTTCAATGATTTGTCCGTCAGACAGATAATTAGAAAATATTAGACTCATATTTTTTATTTTCTTCCACAATTAAATAATAACAGTGCTACATTGAGTTGAAATGGCGCGTTACGTCACGCTTGAGTAGAATTTTTACTCAAAAGTGACGTCACGCGACATTTCAACTCAATATAATACAGTAATTATTCGATTATGAAAATTAAGATTATGTGTCCAAATTTTTTTTATTATCTGTCTGACGGACTAAATATAATTTAGATTTCTTTACCCAGTCATCATCCCTATTGTCATTCATATTACAGTTATGCCTTCATGGTAAAACCTCTAAAACCGTTTCTTATATTCAAATTAATGCTGGTTAATCAAAATTAAAAACGTGCTTTTAGGCCCAGAACAGACGGTGAAACGCAACTGCAACGAAACTGCAACTGCTAGTTACTTTTGAGTTGCATCTAAGTTTCTGCCATAGCGTCCGTTGAGAGACCACACATGACGCGACCAGTTTGAAATTTTCAGTTTCAGTTTCATTCATCAGAATCATCACAAAGTTGCAGTTTCGTTGCAGTTGCGTTTCACCATCTGTTCTGGGCCATACAGTAACATAATACATACTTGAGCGAGCGAATCCCTCTTGAACGAGAAGGTCGTTCAATTTATCACCCGAGGGGAGTACCACGTACACCCCCAACGATTCTGAAGTGCTGGAAAAAATATAGAAAAATATCAAAATTTATGAATGAAAACCTACATTATACGTTGATTATACACTTTCCATGCAAACCGATAAAAGTAATTTTTATGGTACCTAATTGCTATAAATGTATAAGGAGATACAAAGCTACGTTTTTTCTATATTATAGGTATGCGTAAACGTTAAATGAGGGTTTTCGCGAATGAAAGATCCGCTAGATGGCTGGACGTGAATGTGGGGTCTGACTGCTGCGTGATTTTTTTTCTATGAAATTGAACAAAGAACAGTTCGGTAAAATATCGGAGATCAAACACACTGTATAAATCAGGGGTGGCCAACTTGATTAGACATAAGATCCACTGTTTACTAACGAAACCCTGGGTAATCTACCACTTACATACTTCTTGAAATCTTAAATTAAATGAAACAGCTTAGTTTAGTACACAATCATGTAGTATTTTTTGCCTTGCCACGATCGACCGGTGGGCCTCCCCTGGTATAAATAAATGGTGCTTACTTGTCATCAACTTCGACGCGGCACTGGTTGGCGCGGTACTTCTTTATGAACTCTTCTTGTTTCTTCGTCATTTCCTCGTTGTCATAAGTGACGAACTCAATCTGAAACAAATGGTAACTTTGGAAACAAGAGCTTTGTGTATTGTACTGTCTGGGGAAGTAGTAATCAAACTTTACGGGCGTGATCTATGGACAATATTCAAATCAAGGATATAGTCAGATTTATTTCTTTATGATTCATATAGCCTGTGTGCAAACCTCAGGGAGCCAAAATTTATATAAAAAACTTTCAAAAACAGGCTTGTCTGGATTCTTCATCAGATTGATCAGAGCTGGAATTGTGTAAAGCAATCGTTATCATTTGACAGTTCATTAATGTACGATTATTCTGTCAAACGCTTTGTTTAACGGATTTTATCGTACGTTATGAACTGTCAAATGATTACGATTGCTTTACACAATTCCACCTCAGGACGGATATAATCTAAGTTCATACTTGTACTTACAAATAAAACGAGCCCAAATTGCATTGTCGTACAGGAGCAGACCATCAACTTTTAGTTGGCCGATAGTTGGATCGGACTGTTAATCAGTACGGAGATGTATGAAAGTGCGCACATTACACCGATTTGGTATCGGCCGATTCGGTAGTCTGCCGTCTAGGCTTAGCTTAATCGATTCTCAGGAAATTCTGCTTGCAAGATTTGATCCAAACATACATACTGTATGTATGTAACCGTCTCTGTGGTTTAGTGGTAAGACCACCTGCTTCAGAATCAGAGGTCCCGGGTTCGATTCCCAGTGGGGGCAGATTTTTTTGTTCGGTTTGGTTGGTGGTAGGGCTTGTTTTAAGTCCGCCTGGCTACCACCATCTTACCTAAGTCTGTCGCCATAATGCTGTTAACATTGTTGTGTTCCGGCAGTTAGAGGTAAGATAGGCAGTTCCTCCGTGGTTGAGAATTCCGGGTGAAGCTCGCTTCCACCTTCGGCCTGATCATCATTTACCATCAGGTGAGATACAGGCCAAGAGCTTCCTCGTTGTGGATAAAAAAATGTAAGATAAAAATAAAATAGGTGGACTATTTACCCCCGCCAGATGGCAGCAGCGCGCGTACGGTGGCTTAGTACAGAAGCGGCCCATGAGCGGTTGCACGTCGGTTATCAGGCCCGAGCGAACTTCGCCCGTGTCAACCATGAATACTTCCACTCCTAGGTAGTTCTCCTCCTGTGTTGAGTTGTTATAGAATAAGAGCTAGTGAACGTCAGACCTACGTCATTTTATAAAAGCTGAAAGTTTGTCAGCGTATGCACCCAATATAGGATATAATGTTGGTGAATTATGAAGTTTGGGTCATCGTGGCTTTGGGAGCTACCTTAAAAAAACTGCCTGGCAAGGAGTTGGAACTGTCAAAACTGTTTAGCTGTTGAGGAAAATACTTTTTTTATTAGTTTTGATAGTTCCAACTCCTTGCCAGACAGTTTTTTTAGGGTAGCTTCCAAAGCCACGATGACCCAAACTTCATAATTCACCAAAATTATATCCTATATTTCCCAATACGCTTACGCATACGCTGACAAACTTTCAGCTTTTATAAAATGATGTAGGTCTGGCGTTCACTAGCTCTTACTCTATTAGGAAAACTTGTAGCTTATTTTGAGGAATAAAGCGGCTAAATTTTGAAACCTCATGATATTGTTATGGTTAAGCCTAGGCGCAGACTACCGATTTTTAGTTGGCTGATAGTTGGGCCCGATTCCTATTTGTATGAAGAATCGGCCGATGTCAAATCAGTGTAATGTGCGCACTTTCATACATGTCCATACTGATTAACAGCCCGACCAAACTATCGACCAACTAAAAGTCGGTGGTTTGCGCCTAGGATAAAACCATACAAATAACTAGCGGCCGCCCGCGACTTCGTACGCGTGGATCCCGTTTTACCCCCTTAGGGGTGGAGTTTCGTAAAATTCTTTCTTAGCGGATGCCTACGTCATAACATCTACCTGCATGCCAAATTTCAGCCCGATCCGTCCAGTGGTTTGGGCTGTGCGTTGATAGATTACTATGTCAGTCAGTCACCTTTGAGTTCCATATATTTAGATACCAGTTGATTGATGATTATTTACTATATTCGATTTTAAATTGATGAAATCACTTTGAAAAAAACAGAATTTGCGTCAAACATTATGCTCACACATAATTTCATACTTCATTCAATGACTGTTATCCCTATTATGTATTTATGATATCTGTGCTAATACATATTCTACAGAAATCAGATCTCCAATTTACACTCAAAACAATCATGGATCTTCTTCTAATTTTGGATAAACAAACATGCTAAATAAGAAATAGTAAGTAGTACCACAGAATAATAATAAGTACTACGTACAGAAGTTTTACTTCGCGAAGGTATTTAAAAAAATGTATGCTCAATGTCATTAACAATATGGTGTAATTTAGCCTGTCTCAAGAGTCAAGCACCATTTTGTTGACAAACGTCAGTGATCGGCACTGCGCCGAAGCTATAGGGCTGACTTCGGTAAAATGATGTGACGTGAGGTGCCAAACTGCGGAAAATGGCGGAGGAAATACATGATTTAAAATGAATTATCATGAATAAATATTAACTACTTATTTACCTCTCAGTGTCTTGAGGCAACTTAAAAAAGTACATTCTGTGTTTTTATTATTATTTAGGCAGTTAAATACTGCACAGTATTTAGTACACCATTTTCTTTATTTTCTTCCATCATACACAAGAATACGCGTGCGTGAGTCAATGTTCGCTCGTATGTGAGGCCTTGTCAAATAGTATCCTGTAGGTGGGCCATCGTGCGTGTTTTGTTTTCGATGTAAACTCGCGGAGATGAACAGGCCTGGTAGTACTGCTATTTTATTACCTGTATAATTTTGATGACCAGAGCTCTATAGAAGCAATCGCTGTCGTCGTCGTAGAAGGCGCAGTATGTGAGCTCGGCCACCTTCTCTAGGGTGAGGTTTACGCGGTTATTCTTATAGAACTCCGTCATTTCCACCATCATCCTAAAAATAATGAGACACATGGTATTTTAAACTACAAGTCTAAAGTACAGCCAAGTAGCAGCGATACAAAAGGTCGATACGATGACAATATATTCTGTCTCTTCCCATCTTGTGTATTTGTCGTAATGTCTCGTTCTCCCGCCAAAATATGTCAAAGTCAGGCGGGTTCACATGACATTAGGTTTGTTTACATTTGGTATCGCTTCTCGTTGGCCATACTTTAGCAGTTTTTGAGGGAGAAGCCACACGGTGCGTTGCGGCGCCGCACCGCAAACATTTCGCCGCATCACTGTAGACATGGTGGTATGCGGCGCCGCAATACGGCACCGTCTCGCTCAATCGAAGTGCGGTGTGCCTGCGGTGCGGCGCCGGAACGCACCTTCTGGCATATCATTGATTTTTATATGCAGGACGCAGCGGCACCGCTCCGTGTGGCTTCTCCCTGAGCTATGGAAGTGACTCCAGATGTGCTTCAGACTTGTACCATTTATTCTAATGTGTTAATGATTCTGAATTATTAGATTACTTGATCGCATCAATCTCAATTGCAATGAAATTAGTATGATCCCAACTAATATTATAAATGCGAAAGTAACTCTGTCTGTCTGTCTGTTACGCTTTCCCGCTTAAACCTCGCAACCGATTTTGATGAATTTGGCATAGAGATAGTTTGAGTCCCGGGAAAGAACATAGGATAGTTTTTATCCCGGTTTTTGAAACAGGGACGCGCGCGATAAAGTTTTTCTGTGACAGACAAAAATCCACGCGGGCGAAGCCGCGGGCGGAAAGCTAGTATTATAATAATGCAACAAGTGAGTTATGAACAATAAGTTTTGAATTACATAGTAGATCTTTGTTGGCCAGGTCAGATTTCTTCTGACGTCACATCGCCGTATTTAGATCAGGTTTCTTTACAAAGCAAATAACTTTGAAGTGTTGACTGATCAGCACATTTTTAGGTGTCCCCTGTACAATAACTAGGTAGTATTTCATAAAATCATTTTAAATATTCATTCATATTTCCATTTATAACGATGGCAATTTAAGCACACTCAATAATAAAATTATCTATTTGTTTCAACCAAAAGACGCCCACTATTGGATACAGGCTAAAAATAAAATTTAATTTACAAGAAATTGTAATGATAGTGTACTTACGAGCAAACTTCATCAATGTCATCAGTGATTATCCAGAAGGAAGGTCCATCAATGCTCATGATCGTCGCACTGTACACCTGTTCCACCTGGAGAATTGACTGAGCAGGGAGATTGATAGTTACTGGAGGGCTTGCCTGATCTGGGAATAGAAGATGTTATTATTAGACGATTAAGGTTCAGATTAACTTTTTTTTTAAAGATTTTTTTTATTGGCAAAAATGTGAGGAACGGAAACTGGCATAATTTTATAAAATTATTGAAAAAGATCTTGAATTATTGAAAATTATTCTTGCACTGCATTTTCTAAGCACTGGCCAACATTACTGTGATGGTTTAATATTTCAAGTTATGTTAAGGCATGTAAATATTTTCTCAATATCCTAAATTTTCTCTGGCATATTGGAAAGGACTTACTGATGAAGTAAAAGTTTTTATTAAAAGCCTAACTACAGAAAAGATCAATTTATGATTACAATTTCCAACATACCTTCAGCTTCAATAGTAATTGCATTGACACCTTCAGCTTCAATAGTCATTGCATTGACACCTTCAGCTTCAATAGTCATTGCATTGACACCTTCAGCGAGTTCACACTGTACTTCCTTCGTTAGCATCACCGGTTTCACCTGAGGCATGCTCTCCGAGGAAGACGAAGAGCTAGAGAACGCTATTAGTAGCTGATCTCTCTTTGGTATTTTGTTCCGTTTTGGTATCTTAGACGGGCAAAGATTGGGGCAAGCGGTGGAGGTAGACGGTGTCGGCTCGCTGAGCACATCAATGAGGTTCGTTGGGTTCATTGGCATTATCAGAGGTTGAAGAGGTGTTGTATGCGCCATGTCATGCACCGGGGTGGATTCTGGTGTTCCATGGTGTTCTTCTGAAAGATTTTTATTTCATTCAACTATAGTAACTAAAATAACAAAAGCAACCAAAAAGATATCTTAAATCAAATGTTTCTTATGTTAGGGTTTGTGGTATACAAGTTTTGTAATTTGTATTTATCCTATTATGAGAGGAGAGAAATTAGCAAATAGGACTAAAAACAGTGTAATACCAACACAAAGTCAAGCTGTGTTTATGATAATGCCTATCAAAATGTTATTTTAAGATAAAAGTGAAGCATAGTCTATAAGTTTTCTTATTTTAGGATAAACCACATTAATCTCTGTTGCTACTCACCCAATTGTCCAAGAGCAAGATTGAAGTCGGTGAGAAGGTATGTGAATTCGTCAAGCTGCTTCATGCAGTTCAGAAACTTTTCTTTTAGCTCTGACGGCTCACAATTTAGATCATGTACAAAGCTTTGAGCCTGGAAGAAATAGAAAGAATTTAAAAAGCGGTTTTATATAATAATATACTGAATATAGATACAAAATACAAATCAAAACCAAATAGAATTTCTTTGTATTCAGTTAAATTAAATAACCGGTTCATTGAAATTATCTAACTTGCCCTAATGATCATAATCTGAAAAGAACTACTACATAAAAATTTGTTGAAAGGCCTATTAATTTTACTAATTAGCAGTGTAATTTTCTAAATTGCTCATTTTAGAAACATAATAACAGTTATATTTATATGCAGCTATAAAATGGAGAAAGTGTTGAATAATTAAAGAGGGTAGCCAGCGAAAGAGATGAACAAACCTGCACTTTTAGCTTTTGTATGTCATTAACAGCATGGTCACATTTATTTAAAAATACGTTTACACGAGCTTCCAGCTCGTTCCGTCGATGAAAAGTCAACGTTGCCAAGTCTACGAAACTCCTGCAATCAAGAAATGACCCAATTACCAAATATTTTTGCAAAGTAAAATACCATCATGTAAAAAGCAAATCATGATTTGTAATCAATAAACATTGTAATAAAAGAGTAATTGAGTTACTTACATTTTGCTTGTAGAAGAAATAGTTTGTTCTAGACGAACTTTGGTAAGAATTGTTTTATTTGTTTACAACAAACAAGAACTTTTAATTTGTTTCCATTTTTTGATGGCAGATTTTTGCACGCACGTCTGACTGACAGATGAGTATTGATTTTGAATGAAGATGGATTTTTCTTCGATCAAAAAGAACGAATGAATGAATGACTGATATTGAGTGGCTAGTTCTGCTTCTCAACAATAGATGGTAGTCATTTCAATAGCATGCTTTAAATGTCAAAGGTACATCTACCAACTACAAGATGTCGCTACAAGACTCATTAGGCTAAGTGTTGTATTTTTCCTGCGTTAAAAAAAAAGAAAACAATGGCGCTAAAATTAAAATTTAATTCTCTCTTTAGAAACAGATAGATGTTACAGATTGGTTTGAAATTTTATTGATACTTCTGTAAAAATACACCTCCTACCTACCACCTAAATATGACTATTACTTATTTAAATTGAAATATCTACCTAATGCTCATAGTAACAAGACCTAAGATTATAAAATTCTTAGCTACATTAAAAGGCTCAATTTAACCAAATACTGTGAAAGCTAACACTTATTTGTTTCCTCCATTCCTTCTGGAGTATCGCCATTATCCGAGACAGAATGGCACCCAGCAGCCATCCTTTTCCCTCTAATTGGCGCGGGTGCGATTCCAATTAGGCTGGAGTCCGCTGAATTTATTATGTGGCCGTAGTTTAGTTTGCTGTTGTTTTTAATTGAAACGTAGTGCGTAACTCTGTGGTCTAGAGAATAGTTACTTTCGCATTATTAAGTATGTCTGGAAAAGTATACGTTTTAGTGAAACACGGGCATCTCTATTGAAGCTTGAAAACCTCGGACGATGATTAAAATGATTAACTCAGCCTTTATAACGTAGAAGTAATAATCTGCTGTGAAATCTGGAAATTACAAGAACCAGATTCGCTAGCGGCTAGCAGCAACGGTAGGTTAGAAAGATATTCCATAATATTAAATAAAAAAAAAATACAAAGGTAGGTACGCTGTAACAAAGCTATTAGCTTATACCTAGATAATTATTATTGGAAGACAACTTAACATAGACTTTTCTGAAAACTTAGGATTAGTTCGACTGAAAACACGAAACAAGAGAGTAAAACTATATTAAGTCACGATACGTATATTTGCGTGAATATTTAGATACAATGCTTTATTTAAGTATAAAAATAAGCTTTGATTATAATAAAGGTATAAAAGATTAATATTTATTACTTCATTAATAAGAACTTTTCATATAACAACACCCTGTGTATAAGAACCCTAATCATTATGTTAAAAGCCGTCAAAAATTGCAGTATCCAAATTTAAATGAAAACAAGCATAATGATTGAGGGGAAATGACCTAAATACCCGTAAGTCATTTTATTATTATTATTATTAATAATTATCCTTCATGAAAGACAAAGATTTTTCGTTTCAACGCACTGGTCGGTTGAAACCTTAAAAATGAGGAGATTTCTTTTTTAACATATTCCACATCATTGCTTAAAAGAAAGGCTGATTACAGAATTTCTGGAGTAATTTCGAACAAGAGGCTGATAATTCGATTTTGAATTTCGCTTCCGCTTTTCAGAAAACGAAATGCAGTTATTTAGCTTATTAACACTTGCTTCACGCCCGCGCCTGCTAAGATTTAGGGATGTTGATGCAATCGCTTTGTCGATCTTGATTTGATACCAGTGTTTGCATGGAATCAAAAAAAGTTACTTAACATTTTCAAAAATTGCAAATACTTAACTGCAATATACCTAATTATACCTTCCTATAATCTTTTAAATTACACTTACCTATAGTAAGTACACTATTATTCTGTAATAGTATGATTACAAAGTATGTCATACTTAGTTATCCTTATTCTGAAACAACGTCTTAGCAGAATTTAATCTCATGATTAAGTACATACAATCAATTAAAATTTTGAAATTCAATTCTAAAACAGTTAAGCAGTTAGAGGTAAGATAGCCAGTTCCTCTGTGGTTGAGGATTCCGGGTGAAGCTCGCTTCCACCTTCGGCCTGATCATCACTTACCATCAGTTGAGATACAGGCCAAGAGCTTCCTCGTTGGGGATAAAAAAAAAACATTTTTAGTTTGAGTTTCAGGTGTCGTTTTAGAAGATGATAAACAGATTTTATTCCTCAATCTCGTTTTGAATGCATTTATGAATATTGTAGGTATCATACAAATTATGTAAAAGAGGGGTGTAGTCTAATTATTAGCATCAGTATCAGCGTTGAATCGAATTTCAGAGAATCGATACCCTTTCAGCGTTCCAGTCTCATCCCTACGCGGCCATGTTTAGCCGCTGGGCCGACATTACTGTCGCGGGCGGCAAGCGTTTACCTTAATTCCCGGTAATACACAGACAGATACTTACTCTGATCGATGTTAATAGCTTTTATTGATATAGGCCAGCTATTAGCGCCGAGCTATCCGTAGTTAGCCGCACTATATTACGTTAATATCTCAATTTGAAGCGGACCTTCAAATTGCAGGCTGCTAGATTTGACTTATTTGATAACGAGAGGCCTCGTGAGCGTAGGTTTTCAAAGTTCTGCCTGGTTTATGGCACCTAATGGTTGTATTATCCAGAACATAGTTTATAGGTTTCATCAGTTTTAACTATTTTTACGACGACCTGATAAAGGTAGCAGGAGAGCGCTGGATGCAAGCCGCTACCAACCGTGCGATGTGGAAGTCATTGGGGGAGGCCTACCTATAGCAGTGGACGTCCTATGGCTGAAATGATGATGATGAACTATTTTTATTGTTACTCTCCGGCTGGTTATATATTGGACATAGGCACATAATTTTATGTAAGGAGTGTTACACATAAAGTGGGTCGGTTTATAAATTGGCATAATTGGAGCATGAATTTCTAGTTCGATACACAGTTCGAGAACAAGTCTCTCAGGGATGAGCTCTTCTCAATTATCTGAATTTCAGGTACCTAGAAATATATTTTGTACTTATTATGTCTAACGCATGCTGTTACAACTCTATCGATATTCAATTGATTTTCGTTTTAGGAAAAGGATTCTCCTAATTTCTCGGCTCCTCAATTTTCTGAAAATTTTCAGTTCTCAAGTCTGAGGCCCTTTATGAAACAACGTTTAAAACTTTTCAGACTGTAATTAAGTTACAATGACGTGGTTATTTTCATATTGCGGTATTTATTATGGAATCCTGTCTAAGAGAGATGTAGGTGTATTACTACCTAGTTCCATGATTATTAGTACACCTCTGTAGCAGTGGTGTAACATGATGACGAATGGTCTAGCTAGGTAATGACTCGGTTTATTAGATCGAAGCATTTGTTATGGTTGACGTGCCTCCATGGTTAGCGTATGCAAGTGGTAGAGGGATCTTAGGTTGATGTAAACTCTAGTCCAATAAATTCAAGTATCTTAGGTTAATGTAAACTCTAGTTCAATAAATTCAAGCATTTATTATTACGTACCTGGAAATACCTATAGAGTTCAAAGTAAGTAGTATGGTAGTTGGGTACTTATTAATAAATCATGTGTTTATCATCATCATCATCATTTCAGCCATAGGACGTCTACTGCTGAACATAGGCCTCCCCCAATGATTTCCATGTTGATCGGTTGGTAGCGGCCTGCGTCCAGCGCCTTCCTGCTACCTTTATGATGTAGTTGGTTGGCCTTGATGATGGCCGATATTATGGGACAGCAAGGTTCTGGAATGGAGGCCGCGTACCGGAGAACGCAGCGTGGGACATCCACTCACAAGGTGGACCGGCGATATCATAAATTTAATCATGTGTTATTTTTAACAACATTGTATAGGCTCTATAATAGAATGCACTTGACATTTTCTCAAAAGTGCTAGTTTTGCACCTACCGCTTGTTCCAATATGACAAACGCGACGTTATAATAACAAAGTCATTACGTGCAGTCGTTTGTCACCGCTTGACGCTTCATCGCTATAGCCAGACCCACCCCACTGGACTTAATGAAAAGGTTGGCACATCATGCTAAATATACTGTGGCATCTTAATTGTATTAAGTTTATATGCTGTACCTACTTATTCGACTATTTCCTTGTTCCAATATTGTTTTGAAAGATTCAGGAATTAAATATCTTATTTCTAGAATTTAAAATTGAATTTTCTTTGACAATGCTTCACTCTTAGTGTATTTTGTGAAAAAATACGATGAGAAACGACAATAAAGTGATATGTAACAAAATACTCCGTGGTTGGATTGTTATCCTATCCAACTTCAGCGGAATATACAAAAAGAATAATCCTCAATTCGGAATATTAATTTGGGAATGTGATTAACCATTAGAATTATAGTATTTCTTGATCAATTAGCTCATCTAGAACCAATAAATCTTCTCCAATTTATGATTACCGTAAAGCCTGCCACTCGTGCGCAAAGCCGCTATATTTAAATAGCTCCGAACGTAATGTGTTACGTTTCTCGAGTAATTCTTAATTGAGTGGTTCGGACATCACTGGGGGCTAATTTCAACTCTAATTACGAACGCTCGAGTCGTAACACTCGTAAGCTCGCTAGTGATGCGTCAATACGCCCCCGCGAGCGTTCGAGTGGGCAAGTCCACTCGCCCGCTAAGTAATTATCAAGTTCGCTTGTCGCAAAGGTGTTGGCAAAACTAATGGGTTGATTTTCACACCGATTATCTAGATTTTGCACCGGTTCTGGTGAGTCATAGGTGTGTCACCGATGGATCGAGTTTTGCCTCATTTTGCAAACTACTAACCCTTTTGGATATTTACACGATTAAGGTCCTTGAAATGTAGGTTTCTACAGTTACAACAGCTGTCGGCTGAATCTTCACCCGGTAGATGGGTCGAAGAATAACAAACAGCCTTCATTATAATTTCTCAGTTAGATGGGTGCCCTACAATTGAATGACTAAACTCGATATTTATAAGCACTTTATTCAATCTCGTGATTTTAGCAATAAATCTAGTTCATATGATTTTAAATGTTTTCATCTCCGGTTACGTTAAAAATAGAGCCCATTTAGTCCGTTTACCCGTGCCCAGGTAGATCTAATATACTAAGTATTCCCGCGAAACCGACTCCCACAATAGCTA